TTATCTGCTGTTCTGCCCACCCCTTAGAATTTGAACGTTTGTAAGAGTAATTCCCATGCTACATGTCTGCCGTGTTTCTGAATTCTTGTGTCTGTAGGCGATCTGCCTGATCTGATAGAGTGGCAATAAACGTGTATTCTTTGGGGCTGTCTGTATCTTCTTAGGTTGCTTTTTTTTTCTTTATTATATGATTTAATTAGAAGTTTAATCATTTTAAAACTACCTCCAGAGCATCTAGGAAAGTTCCTTTAATAGCAAAGCATTAAGTTGCTTAAAGTGCCTCACAGAACTAAACCGTGGAAGCATTTCTGAAATATTTCCCCTGCTAAGCAAGAGGGATGTCATGAAATGAAACAAAAAAAGGAAACAATATTTCATTTGTATGGAAGGATAGAGCACATTTAATCTAAAACAGGCTACTTCAATATTGATGGTTTACTTGTGGAGTTCAGCAATTTTAAAATAGAAATCTTACTGGTATTAACTCTACCACATGTAGGATGAATTAATCCCCTGGAAATGCACACATGTTACTGTACATCGTAGCTATCAAAAAGCCAAAGCACTGGAAGTTTAGGGGGTTCTGTAACTTTGAATAGAGCTGTCTTAATTTTAAAACAAAAATGTTCAGCTTCTGGCAACTTACATAGTAGCATTTCTAATGTTTTTTAAACAGCTATTAATGTAGTCAAGCTGTGTTTTTTCTTCTTCTGTGTGTAATCATCTGCTCAGTGGTGCACTCTATAACTAGTAGCAGGAGACAGAGGAGTGGCCTGCTGTGATTGATGGGGCGAGGCCCAGCAAACTGAAAGAGTCCCATCTGGATTAGGTTTTGGGAGCAGTCAGATGTTGAGAGGGAGGTCAGTAAGCCTTGCATTAGCTCCCCCTCCTTCAACACCCCTATCATCCACACTCATGCACACATTACATTGCTCACACGCCCTCATCCATAATTGATGCTTGCTTTGGGCAGATGCTGTATGGCCTGGGACTAGAGCAGCTGCTAAGTTTATGGAGAATAAAGGGAACAGGATGGTACAGCAGGTATTTTCACTTTTATTTTCAATTGAAACTCGTGATTTTAGTCAAGCCAGGGCATTTCTTATAACCAGCTGCACCACTGCATGCAAGACTTCTAATACAGGTTTTGTTGCTTAAGTCTGAAGGAGGGCAAACTACGGCGGTGATTATATATCTCTGCTGTGCTTGATATATCTAACTGAGCCATTCTTATAACCAGCAGGTTTACAGAGTAATGTTACGTTTTTCTTCTTTGTTTCCGTGCCCTAAGGATATGATGCAGCTTGGCTCATTTAACTACAGTATGAGAGGCTTTCTCTAAATGTGAAATATCTCTTGCCAAAGAAACAAAATGCACCAAACAGAAAAATAGAGTAAAACAAACAATAAACTGTTAGTTAGACTTTAAAATGCAGGCAAGCAGAAAGGTTTTCATTGAATACATTTTTATGCTGCAAATGTGTTTTTAAAAGGAACACTGCATAAGTAATGTTTTCTGTGCTCTGTCTTTTGTGTACAAACATAACAAGCTTGCTTTATTATGTTTTGACACTTTTCATGCATTTCTTAATTATGAAATCCTTTCAGAGCAGAAGATGTTGAAAAGGCATGTTGAGATCTGAGATACTAGCAGCATTTTAAATTCTAAGCTTTTCTTCAAATGGAGTAATATGTATGGAATAGGAGCGACTTCACTTACCTGCATCATTGGAATGCTTTCTTTTTTTGTTCTTTAGAGTTCAACATTTAAACAGAAAGCAATAAATTTGATTTTATACACTGCCACGTAAAGCATATTTTTCAGTTGAAATGTGGTTTTCATTAAAACTCAGGCCAGAACATTTAGCAGAGCCTGACTGTCTGCCATCCTTTGTTCTTCTTTCTGTTGCCAACAACTACTTTATTAAAAACCATGCACAAAGTGAGCATTAAGAGGGGTCATTTAATCTTAAAGATACTTGGAACTGAGTCTGAAGGGACAACGTCTGTTTAGCCTCTCATGCCGAGGTTGTATTAAGCAATGTCTGTGTACTGTCATCTGCAGTTTTGAGATTACTCTAATACCTGAGTTCATAGGCTAATTTAGGATCAATATTTCCTGTTGCTTTTAGGGCCATTTCATATTTTCAACTTAATGCATTAGATCTATGATTTCCCTTATTCGTTTTAGTTCACTGTATTTTAACGGGCACAATAAGGGGACGTTTTAGGTTATTATATTTAAAGAATTTCTTGTTCTTTAAATTCTATTCAAATATATTTGACTTTTGTGTAGTCTGGAGTTACTATCAACCACATGTATATATGAATGTGTGTTAGTTGACATTGCATTGTTCTTGATACAAATTCATATTCTAAATAATAAGCTATTGGCTTGATACCCATATAAGTAGTAAAAAACATGTTTATACGTACATGCTTTTATTCCACATTGTAATACTGTGTCTATTGAATTAATCGTGAATCATAAATTCACACTATTTTTAAAGGCTAGGAAAGGCTACACTAGGCACTGATTTTAAGAAAAAAATCCCCAAACCCCTGAACCTTCATAGTTTATTTACTAATGGGGTCTCAGTTCTAAATAAGTGATACAGACCTCAGCTTAACAAGTCTAATGAAAGAGGCAGAAAAGTCTCAGTAACATGAAGGTGCAGGAATTGTCAATGCAGTTTGCCATTTTATGATAAATCTAAAAAGTGAATCGTTTGGAGTTGCTGGTAGAAATAATGTAAAAGTTCAACTCTCTTAATTAAATATTAGCTGTAATTAGCACTAAATGTGAATGCTTTGAATATTAATTAGGGTCTCATGGAACTGCTGTCAATGCTAATGAGAAACAGTGGGGGTCTCAGCAACATCTGGTTTAGGACTCAAGGTAGTATAAAACCCTTTAGATCAAATGCACCTGGACATTAGCCCTTGGTCCCTTTGTTACCATTATTGTTCTTTTTTAACAGCTGCTGACTCTAATGCCATGTTTAGCATCTGACATGAAGGAATAGCTTAAGGACCAGCAGTAACCAGCTACTGTTTCAAAGCCAGCACAGTGAAAATGCTTATACAGGCAGAAGTTCGATTTGCTGTTGTTCATTCTCACCACTTGCTGAAGTCCTTCCTGAAACAGTTGATTAAAAAATTTATGGTCCACTGCCTCCCCCACAAATTTTAAAAATAATTCTTTAACATTTAATAAATGTCTCTGGTGTAATCCAGTCATTGCTGATTTTTACTTCATCTGGATTTTTTTTTTTTTTTAACAGTGGAAATATTAGGTAAAAGAAATAAGAAAGGGACCTTGCCATTTTAATATGAGGGTATAAGTATACATTACAAAAGTTTTTAACCTCCACTGAAATTTAAACAGGGCAAGTTTCAGTGCAGCAATAACCTTGGAATGATTGTAGATATATGCAAATGAAACTTACTGACTTAACCCTGTGAAGTAGGTAAATGTCACTGTTTTCTTTTTAAAGATGGTTGAACGAAGCAATGTAAACTACTTGCTCAAGGCCATACATTAAAATGGTAGCAAAGATGGGATTAAAATTAGGGAGGTTTTTGATTGCTGATATAAAGTTTTAATTTTTTAGGACACACTGAAGGTCTTTTACAAAGGAAAAGTTAATTTTCCTGTCTAAGCCTGCCATGTACCAAGGCTTATTCCTGTGCCGTGATTTTGCAAATTCTTAAAAGCTCTTGAGTTTAGGACCAGTTCAGGTCAGAGAACTGATGTCTGAATTAGTTGAAATTGGCTGGAAATGTCCTTAAGCACGAAGTGCAAAAGAATGTCTTTTATTCATCCAGCCTATTTTGAAATTAGGAAGTCAAGGACTGATGAGTACAAATAAGCAAAATCCCTACAATAGTCCTGTGCAGGTACTTGTGCATGCATTGGTGGGAAAATGACAGGGTATTTTAAAAACTAAAATTTTTCTCATATATTCATTTTATCTTGTAAATCAGCTCATCTGACTTTGGGATAGTGCCTGTATTAATGGCCTCTAATGTTGTATCATCTGCAGCATCATGTTTTGGACATCTTTTATATAGGTTCTGAAAGATTGTTCTGTACATTTCCTCCCCTAGAATTATTACTATTTGGTATGAGCAGAGCATTTAGTTAGAAGTCTCTAACTGATAAGTTAACACGCTCGACTATCCTTTATTATATCAAACATAAAGATGGATCTATCTATAAAGAGATGAGAGCATTTGTTTTTAATTGTATAGGCTTATTGTAATATGGGAATGAAATACTGTTGTCTTCAAATTTAAAGCCTTAAAAGTTCTTAAATCTGTTTCTTTTGACAGCCTACAACATAGAATTTTTCTTTTTTGTGAACTTGAGATTTTGGACTGATGCATTTTTAGATTCAGCTGTTTAATATTTTGATTGGATCTCATTATTTTTTTGCATTTGTGCATGCAGTTGCTCAGTACAGTGTACTTCAAAGTATTTCTGAATATCTCATAGAGCATTATTTCATGTAAATATTTTAAGTATACAGTTATGTTAACAGTACGCACCCAAATCCTGTTCTGTGTGTAGGTTGCATATATTGTGTTCTGCAAATGGTAAGTCAGAATGGATCACAGACCATGGGCTAACCTTATCAGAGCTCCGTATTGGCAGTTGTGCTCAGTAGTCTTGGGAATAAACTGAGCTTTGTCCCTCTTCTTTGTCTGAGTTGAGGCATTAGTTCAGGTAGACTTCACTGACCTTTCCCAGTTAAAGAATAGTCTACAGTTATCCAGAGAACAGCAGATTTGTTTGTCTAATTATAATAAGATTTAATAGGGTTAGCAAAATGGATTTAATTCAGATAAGAAATTTTCTCCTCAAGAAACAAACATTGTACCCTTTTCAGGGCAGCAATCTTAGCAGAATACTGTCATCACTTTCTGTGTTACGTGTGCAGGGTCATCACTTATTTTATCTCACTCCACTTTTCTTTTTTCTCCTTTGATTTTTACAGGGTAATCAGGAAGCTACAGCACCTCCTGACACAATGGCACAGCCTTATGCCTCAGCCCAGTTTGCTCCACCTCAGAATGGTATCCCTGCAGAATACACAGCCCCACATCCTCATCCAGCTCCAGACTACACAGGCCAAACCACTGGTCCAGAGCACACGTTAAACATGTACCCTCCTGCTCAGACACACTCTGAACAGAGTGCAGCTGACACAAATGCACAAACTGTCTCCGGCACAGCCACAGTAAGTCAAGGCTTCAGCTGTTTTGAAAGTAGTATGTTTCAAATTACATGTGTATTTATCGATAACATTCATTCCTATGTTACACTTAATAGTTTTGCACTTCATTTGTGTTAGAATTACCATTTCAAGGTTGAAAGTCTGTCGAAGTTTGTTGTTGAACTTGGAGAATATAATTTCACTGCTTTTGGAGCCTCCTTAGTAAGTGTGGGAGCTTTGTAGAATCTGAAGTTTCCTTTTCTACAGTGTTAGACAGGCAAAATGATTAATAGCAAGCCCATGAATCATGTAATAAAGTTTGACTAAGTCCAATATGGAAAAACATTGCAAAAGGGTTTTTGTAAGCATTCATTTGGAAAAAAAAAAAAAAAAAAACAACAAAACAACAAACCAAAACAAACCAGACTCATTTTGTTGTTTTTAATGACCTCTGTATTTTTGACCCTTCTGAGTAGTTTTTCATAGAAGTGTTCGTTGAATGGTACTGTATTGAAATTACTTGCAGAACTGTGTGAATGAGTATTGTGAAGGGCATGTCTGTAATACTGTATTTTCTAGAGAGCTTGTTTGTGCAGCCATTACCGAAGTTGTGTGTGCATCTGTGTTCAACAGAGCAGAAATGATAGACTTTTTCCTTCTATTTGATTTATATATGAAGTTCTAAAGTGTCATGAATTATGCAAGAGACTCCTTGGATGGCCCTACCTTGTAATTCAAGTCCTAGATTTCACACATTGATAGTTTAGTGCTTCTGTCTTAATTTTAGATTGGGACCCAATATATCCAGTGCCAACAGCTGGCAGATTTCTAAGCCATCAACAACCTGTGTTACATGCGTAGGATCTAGCACAGAACAGACAGCACGCTGCAATTTGAGCATGCGCTTGAAACATCTCTACTAGCTGTCCTCATCCATACCTCGTCTTACCTCCCCTTCCTCCCCTGGCATATGTCCAACCTGAAAAGTCTCATGCATTAGGGCAAGAGGAAAGGGAAAGCATGTTCCCTTCAATGGGTTATTCTGAAGACTTATGTTTATTGCCATGTCACTGATTTCTTTATATGGGTATGAACAAGCAAGAAAAGCAATAGCAGAAGCACAGAAGTATATTCCTTGCTATTATCATTGAGAGCTTCTTGTGAATTAATTACACAGTTTTGTGGTTTATGCAGTAAAATGTTTCAGTCCTTTTATTTTTGACTTGGTAACTTTTTATTGCCCTGACTGGCCCTTTGCTCTAATAGTGTGAGAAAGTTGAAGAGCATCCTGTTTGTCTGTATCTCATAGCATTCTTTGCAGCTCTACTCTTAGAGTAACTAATACTCTATACTCTCAGAGTGTCCTCTCTTATTCATTTCTCTGCTAAGTTAACTTCCTGGTTCTTTCCAGCTTTTTAAATTTTGTTCCATAATCATTTTTGGTTATTGTCAAACTCTTGCCATATGCCACTGTCATTGGTTTAGAGCAGGAACCCTAAGCTGAATAGATACTCCAGAATAGATTGGATATTGACTAAAAATGTAGTCTTTCCTACTGTCCCTGTCTCATTCTTTTTATATTCTACTATTTTGCTTGCTCTTTTGACCACTGTTGCACATTGAACAGTCCACTGTGATGCCCGGCTCAGCCTTTTCATATTTTGAAACTGTTGGTCCGTTTGCCGTTCGGTTCTGAAGTAAAAGACTGTCAGTGCTAAAATCAATGGTAAAACACCTGTCGATGTGAGTGGGACAGGAGCTCATCCCTCATCATTTATTGCTTTCAATTTATTGTGTTTCCTCACCCCTTTTTGATTTTTCAGTTTGAAGAAGCGTTGGTCTCTTTATCAGAAAAGTCAGGTATGCGTTTTTCCAACATCTTCCATGGCAAAGGCTGATGAAAAGAAATAATTTGGATTGTCTGCAATGCCCTTATCTTCTTCAAGTGCTCTACTCAATCCTAGCTCTAGCAAATCCAATGATTCCCTTGAAGGTTTCCTGCTTCTGATATATTAATAGGCTTTATTGTTATTTGGTTTTGTATCCTTTGCTATCTGCTCTTCTTATTTCCTTTTTGCCTTCCTAATATCCAACTTATATTTTACCTGTCATACACTTTCTCCCTTCTGGTTCCACTTGGAGCAAACTTCCGTTCTCGGAAGAATAACACTTCAATTCCACTAACCTTTTATATTTGGGGAATATAGTATAGTTATTTGCTCTTTTTATTATGGATCCTTTTCTTTCCTTCCTGTTTCCTTTCTTACAGAGGAATGCGCATAAGTTTTTGAAGTAGCTCCCATGCTGCTTATAAAGAATTAGATTTCCTTACTTTTGACTTTAGGGTATTTTTGAGACAGTTTTGTTTTTTTTTTTTTTTTTTTAAAAGATATTTTTTCTAAATTGCAATGTTATATTGAAAGTTGTGGATACTATCCCTCCCTGGAGAACAATGCATTGAAAATACAAGTTTACAAGAAGCGTGTATCTCTGGATCTACGTTGTTCAAAGTAGCCTTGACATTTAATGTATTACTCACCAGTTAGTTAGTTTTACAAACTTGCAGTCAAATATTGTTTGCACAATTTAATTATGGGTACCTAGATCTAAAATCTGTTATGCTGTGTCTCATTAGATTGCACTTAACACATTGAAGAGACATTATAAATAGGTATATGCAGATGGATCCCAGGCAGAGTTGACATGGGCTTTGTAGTATTATGAGGGTCCAGCTGTGTACATCTCTCTGTAGGTTTAATAATACATGTTTTTATTATGAAATAGAGCTTCAAGAGCACTGTGTCAACATTGTAACTCCATGTGGTCTTTATTGTTGGAGGAAGAAAATTATGTTTCTTTCCAGTTCCTGCTAGCTTTCTGAATAGTTGGTTTCCAATCTTAAAGAATCATAGAATGGTTTGGGTTGGAAGGGACTTTAAAGATCATCTAGTTCCAATTCCCCTGCCATAGACAGGGACACCTTCCACTAGACCAGGTTGCTCAAAGCCCCATTCAGCCTGGTCTTGAACAATTCCAGGCATCCACAGCTTCTTTGGGCAACCTGTGCCAGTGCCTCACCACCCTCATAGTGAAGAGTTTCTTCCTTAGATCTAATCTAAATCTACCCTCTTTCAGTTTAAAGCCGTTACCCCTTGGTCTATCACTACATGCCCTCGTAAAAAGTCCCTCTCCAGCTTTTTTGTAGGCCTCCTTCAGGTACTGGAAGGCTGCTATAAGGTCTCCCAGGAGCCTTCTCTTCTCCAGGCTGAGCAACCCCAACTCTCTCAGCCTGTCTTTATAGAATCATAGAATATCCTGAGTTGGAAGGGACCCACAAGGATCATCGAGTCCAACTCCTAGAGTTGAAGAGGTGCTCCAGCCCTCTGATCATCTTCATGGACCTCCTCTGGACTTGCTCCAACAGGTCCATGTCCCCCCCCTTATGTTAGGGGCCCCAGAGCTGAATGCAGTACTCCAGGTGGGGTCTCATGAGGGCAGAGTAGAGGGGGAGAATCACCTCCCTCGACCTGCTGGTCACACTTCTTTTGATGCAGCCCAGGATATGGCTGGCTTTCTGGGCTGCAAGCACACATTGCCGGGTCACAGTGAGCTTCTCATCAACAAACACCCCCAAGTCCTTCTCCTCAGGGCTGCTTTTACTTCATTCTTCATCTAGCCTGTATTTGTGCTTGAGATTGCCTCGACCCATGTGCAGGACCTTGCACTTGGCCTTGTTGAACTTCATGAGATTTGCACAGGCCCACCTCTCAAGCCTGTCAAGGTCCCTGTGGACAGCATACCTTTGCTCCAGCGTGTCAACTGCACCACACAGCTTGGTGTCGTCAGCACTGTCCACATCACCGACAAAGATATTAAACAGCGCCAGTCCCAATACTAACACCTGAGGAATCCCACTCGTCACTGGTCTCCATTTGGACATCGAGCCATTGACCACGACTCTTTGAATGTGACCATCCAGCCAATTCCTATCCACCAAGTGGTCCATCTGTCAAATCCACGTCTGTCCAATTTAGAGGCAAAGATGTCATGTGGGACAGTGTCAAATGCTTTGCACAAGTCCAGGTAGATGATGTCAGTGCTCTTCCCTTATCCACCAATGCTGTAACCCCATCATAGAAGGCCAGCAAATTTATTAGGCACGATTTGCCCTTAGTGAAGCCATGCTGGCTGTCACCAATCACCTCCTTATTTTCCATGTGCCTTAGCCTAGCTTCCAGGAGAATCTGCTCCATGATCTTGCCAGG